TTATACCGTTAAGGAAAGAAACATTCTTTTTGTTAAGACTGAAATATTTGTTGTTACCTATTGTTAAGAATATCACAACGTGCTTTTATTTTTTCAGAAGAAGAAAGCAAAGACAGAGACTAAGAAGATGATGTTTTCATGTTTTCGTCGTGTGTTTGGTTGATGCCTGATACATCTGTAAAACAAACTATAGACAGTGAATTGTTAAATTATTTATAATTTTTTAGAATTTTTTGTAATACATATCACCTGATTGAATATAAAAATATTTCTGCACCGCATTTGTTATAATTGATCATTTTTTATGATTAAAACAAGATGTGCTTGTGAAACACTGATGCCTCCGTATGGCAACATACCAAAGAAACTTCGTTTACTTGGGCATAAAAAAGGAAAGAAAAAAAAAGAAAGTTAGAAACTCAATGGTTTTATTCTTGGACGTTTTCGTGGAAAATTTTAAGGTCTGACAACACTTCTGTCAATTATGTATAAAGATGAAATTAATATTTTTGTTATATAGCAAGAAATGCAAAGAAAATATCCCGACCTTAAGTCGAAAAGAAGAAAACAACAACGAAATAAAAGCCATGATTTAATACGAAATATAATTACAGTCAAACTTGTCTTAGCGGCCACCCGAAATCAACGGCCACTTGCGGTCAGCGGCCACTTTCAGTTCCCCCCGACGATTTTTCCTATATATTTTAACTGGAATAAACGGCCACCTGTGTAACGCGGCCAGCGGCCACTGAAATCCTCCCCAAACAGCCTTATTGACACTGTAATAGGCGGCCATTTCGTCACTTGCTGCGATTCTATCATGTCTTTTAAACTCCTTTGCTTGGGTAATTATATCCCGATAGCCAATTTAACCCAGCTATTAATGCAATTAAACAAATTACTATTGGATACACTGAACTCTATTTGTGTTTATTTAAAAAAAACCTGTTAGATGAATTTGAAATTATTTTTCAAGATCGCCGATTGAAAAATAAAAAAGAATTTAAATACAATTGATACTTTCCTCTACCTAAAGAAATTCACACCTTTTAGATTTTGGTTCCATGTAGAAACCCTAATTGCTTCTCTTGTGAAAACAAAGTGCTTCATGTGGGATGATTATCTCGTGAATTTCACAATCAACAGACGATCTATAGGGATTAGTCACGCTCTACTGCATATGACACCTGTGTTATTGAATGATTTTCAACTGCGTCAATACATCTCTCTGGTCAAGTGGTTAATTTTATTTGTGTGTTTGTGTATGTTACACAGAAATTCTGACAGCTTTGTAAACAATAAAATTTACCAGACTTTAAAAACTTTAGCAAGTAAGTTAATTGCCGATGAATTAAATGGGGGGGGGGGGTTACACTGCTGACCATTTTTTAACATATGCAAGTGAAATTTTATTGACATATTCTTACTTAATTTCTATGCTTTATTTTATTTACCACTAAAATGTATTTTTGTGTAATTTTTTTTCTTTCTAAAAAAGGATAATAATTAGACACTGCATGTATTTCGTATTTAACCAATATGTAGGAACAGAAACATGCACAAAACCTTTAAAAAACTCTATTTCTTTAATATATTTTTTAATGAGCTTGAATTATTATATATACACATAAAAAGCCTTTGTTAAATTGACCTGTTTTATTATTTTCTTATTAATTTAACTGTAGTGCTTAATGTTGTTTATTCATTGCCCGAATGTCTTTTTCGAGGGCAAACTGGAATAAGAGGCCACCTGTCTTAAGTGGCCAGTTTCCAGACTTCCCAACGGTGGCCTCTTAAAACAAGTTTGTACAAACATGTACATAAAATTATTTTACATAATTTTTTTTTATCACATAAAAAATGGAGAACATGAAGCTTTTTTCCGTTTGCACACGATTCACAACACAGGTAATTCTACCTATTAGGAAAAGTGACGTCACTTATCAGGTATTGATTTTTGTGGGGTGTCCAGGATTTTGGCAGACAGATTGCCTTTAGTAAAGATCGATTAGGATCCTTAAATATTGTGCTTCCTGCAAAGAATGGTTAAATAAAGGTTATTCAATTATGTCTTGGATTAAATAATTTCCAGTACATAAGTGTATTATGTTATAATTTCTCTTTTAAAAGTGTTTATTGGCCCAAATTTTTATCGAGGCTTCCCATTTGCTAAAAATATACTCGTATACCAATGCACCTATGTACATAAAAATAATTCTGCAGAATGATAACGTGAAAGTGAAACCTCATAACATTAAAAAAATCATACTTATGTCTTCCCACAAATTTTTATTAAAATAGAAAATTTGGAAATAATTATTATTAAAAAATGAATTAAGGACAGATGGTAAAAACAATTTTTTTCTTTGGAGGAGACTAAATATCATGTCACAGATTTAGGAAGGTGGATTATTCTTTGATTTTTTTCCTTAGACTTGGAGAATGGAATACCTTCAATATCCCCCCCCCCCCCCAAGAAAGCACACAATTCATATTGATTTAACGTCATGTCCTCAAACACTCAAATCCACAATATACTACCAAATTTTACATAAAAACATAAGCTGACAAGAGAAATCTTACAAAATCTAATGTAAAATCATATTGGTCATATTGTAATGAAAGCATCTTCAAAATGTGTAGATTCTAGAAAGCTTTAAAGGGGCATGGATACAGTTTCAGCTAAAATTACAAAATTTATTTTTCCATTTTTACAAATATTTAACTAGGATCTTTCTAATGATGATCAAAAATTTGAACACCAGTTGTCCAGATACAAGACAGATTTAGAGCTCCAAACCTTTGTAATGTAAACAAGGCCAGTGGTATGTTTTTGTTTACACAGGTTAATATACTAATATATATTCATTCGAAGTAGATAATTTCAAATAAAAGTTAATTTTAAATACGATTCGACAATTACTATTGATTTGCTGAACTTCATTTTTTTTTTTATAAATATGGTATTTTCTATATGTAAACAAAAACAAGGCACGAGCCTCGTTTACATTATGAAGAGCTTTAAGTTCTATATCTTGTTTGTTAATCAACAAATGATGTTCAAAATTTTGCTAATCAATAGATGATGCCTTAGATAGGAATTGTAAACATTAAAATTGGTTTAAAAAATTCAGTTGAAACTGTGTCCATGCCCCTTTAATCAAATTTATGTAAAAGCATCCTCAGGAAATCGAACGTATTGTAGATTCAAGTTTGTGCAAATCATGACATCAATGAGCAATCAAAGTTTTAAACAAATTTGTTATTGTAATAGCAGCCCACCCCTTAAACCATAACGAATTCAAAGAAATTGTTATAACGAATTATATAAGTTGGACAACTCGTTTATATTTTTTCTTTATAGGTCCTAAATCGGCTTACGTAGAAAAATGTAGAACTTAATCAAAATTAATTTTCATTTAGATCCAGTGTAAATATAACTTTTAAATTTTTAATGTTAACCCAATGTTTTATTTCATTATTGATTTAGATGAATAAAAAGATTTAAAACGTATTACTGTTTTTAGAATAATGAAGATCTTCGTCAGAATCATCACTGAAAGGACAATCACTCTCGATGTCAACCCCGCAGATAGCATTGAAGATGTTAAGGCCGAGATTGAGAGAAAGGAAAATATCCCTCCTTATATGCAGATATTACTGTTTTTGGGAAGACCGATGAAGAATGATCGTTCCCTGTCCTACTATAATGTACAGGAGGAATCCATTCTTCACTTGGCACTGCGTTTGAGAACGGATTTTCAGATCTTTGTTGAGGTCTTTCCTGGGAAAACCATCAATCTTGTGGTTGATCCATTGGATACAACTGAAAATGTCAAGGTAGAAGTTCAAAATAAAGAAGGAATTCCTGTTTGTCAACAGAAGATGATTTTTGCCGAGAGACAGCTAGAAGATGAACTTACATTGGCTGATTTTAAAGTGATATATGGCGTATTTTTGATAAGTTCAGACTAACTAAAATTAAAAAGATCTTTCTATTTGTTTTGTTACTTTATATAAAGATAAGACTTTCCTGTAAATTACACAATTTAAATCAATTGCGTTTCAAAGTTATCGCAGAATTTAAAACAATAACCGAATTATTTCCGACTCGGAAATAGATATCGGACATAGTTTAAAGTCAATTTAAGTAATAGAAACGTGGGAATATTTAAGTTCAAGATAGATGAAAATTTTAATTTGAATGTAAATAACAAATATCGTGTAAATCTCCGCTTAATCTCGTATTTTTATTTTTTACCTCAGATACGCCATATATAGCTTTAATATTCAAAATGAATCAAGACTTCAAATGCTCAGACAGAAAAATGCAGATTTTCGTTAAAACGCCCGAGGGAGGATCTTTCGCTCTCGATGTTGAGACTTCTGACACCATTGGAAAGGTAAAATATATGATTCAGGAGAAGCAAGGTATTCCTCGAGATTTACAGAGACTGATTTACCTTTCGTTTTTAAGGGATGAGTTCACCATTAATGACTATAGCATTCTAAAGAATTGCATGCTTTTTCTCAGATATAAAAGCGTGCTCCCTTCCTGTACAGGGACGTAGCAACAGGGGGGGGGGGAGGGCAGGGGCCTGCCCCCCCACTTTTGTTGCCAACAATACTTTTACTATTGAAAATGTTCATTGAAAGGCTGGTTGGCCCCCCCCCCCCCCCCGCTTTATACTAAAGTAAAGTAATACGAGGGAAATACAGTATTGTAAGCTTAAAAAATGGATATTGAAAGGAATTGGTAGTGAAAAAAGTTCCCCCCTCCCCCACGAAATAGGATTTTCGGCTTTGGGCAATTTTCCTTTTTTTTTTTTTTTTTTTTTTTGCTTGTTTACTTTTTCAGGTAAGTAAAAAAAAATTCTGTGGCTGACCCCCCCCCCCCCCCACTTTCAAAATCGATGCTACGTGCCTGCTGTAGGCAGTGTAAGCCAAATACCAACAGATTTTTGAATTTCATTTAAATGTATAGTATACTTTTGTCAATTTTTACAGGAGAATGTACTGATTGTACAGGTCAGAGGTTAATGGTCTAGATTTAATCCAGACACTAATTCCAAAGCTTTTAATTTTTTTATGCCCCCGTAATCGAATAGTCGGGGGTATATAGTTTTTGCCTTGTCTGTCCGTCTGTCTGCTTCTTTGTCCGAACAAACTTTAAACTTACTCATAACTTTTAAGTGGGTTAGGCTATGACTTTCATATTTCAAAGGTGTATTAAATTGACAAGACCTTTCGTTTGGTACCACCAAATTTGATTTCTTGACCTGGACTTTGGAGTTTGACCCACTTTTACAAAAATAATATCACACTTTAACCCTGGTCATCACTTTTAAATTGCTTGTGCTAGGGCTTTCATACTTCACATGTGTAGTAATTGTGAGAAGACCTTTCAGTGAGTTAACTAGTAATTATTTTTGACCTTTTGACCTTGACCTTAGAATCTGACCTACTTTTTAAAAACTTTAAAATGACCATAACTTTGTAACAGTTAAAACTGGGCTTTTATAGCTCACAGGTGTATTACTTGTGACAAGACCTTCCTTTGGATACCAGCAATTTTGACTTTGACATCAGGAGTTTGACATGCATTTGAAAAAAATAAATGCCATAAGAAGTTATACGGGGCATCAATGTTTCACAAAACATCCTTTTAAAAAAAGATTTATGTATAGTTTTGCTGCAATTAATTGGTAAATTTTACAGATTGTTATCGATTGTATTAAGACCCGCGTTTATCTCGCCTCGTGTAATTTATATTCAATTTGTTGTTATTTATTGTAATCGAAGGTTTTGAGAAAGTCTTATCGGTTGTTTAAGTGGACTTAATCATTGTGAATATGCATATTTTTTTAAGTTTATTTTTCTGGACACCATAGTCCAATGTACGTCAATATTATTGAAGTCTTTCAAAAAAGTCAGGCACTCAGGGTTGTAAGAAACAAGTCTTATCTAAAAAACCAAGTGCCTAAACATTTTTATTTTTAAACCGAGAAATCACTGATAAATATGGACATTCAAGCTACAAGTATTGATGGATTGTATAAAGGATATAATAATTAAATCACCATCAGCCCAGCATATCTACATATGTATTGATGACGTCTTATTGATGTAATATACTTTTTCATTCATGGATTGTTTCATGTTATATCTCATTTAACTCGAAATAAAAGACACCACTGAGTATGCTTCATATTTGGGCTTTCGTAGAGAAAGGCATGGATGTCAAACTAACTACTTCACTTCACCTTTTTTATCGTAAACACACTATCTATGTAAGACACAACCAATCATATTTACCTGCATATGAAGTTTAAGTCTCTTTGTTGATTTGACAAGCCATAACAATGTTCTTCGCATGAATACTTTAAAAGTGAGGCATATACTGTTGACAAGTACATTGATGATACAGAGGTATCTACAATCTCTTTTGAAGTCAGTACATTCTATGGTCGATAGAATGCACTTGTTCATACATTACAGCATCTTCGCTAGCCAAGGGTTTCCGATCCGATACCTACTCTACAACCCTTGGCAGATTTGGCTGAAAATTTTAGAACTCGCGCAAACGAATTTGATTGGCTGCGAAGACCTAGTCTTCGCAAGGTTTTTACTAATCGACGATTTTCGACTGAATTAAATTCTGTTCGTGTTTTATGCATAAGAAGTTGATTATTTATAAGAAATGAAACTTAGGACGTAATAAATACTAAAAAAACAAAGGATAATTAATTTTTAAGTTTTTTCCTTCTGATAATTTATGTGTTTTAGATATTATTGAAATGACCACATAGTATGTGTTCCGCATTTTAGGAGCATCAATTTAAGCCAATCAAAAGCCATGGCTCATTGATAATAAATGGAGACTGCAATTTGCAGGACGTGCTGCGAAATTCTTGATAAAAAGTCAAGAAGAACAATATATTCCAACACGTTTGAGGTATCCCAGCAGCTTAACGAAGTGTTAGGTCATGTACCGAACGAAAATGACGGATGTTCCAAGTATGTATGTTACCGTTGCTATGCTAAGTTAAAAAAAATGTCAAAAATTGACTACGATTTGCTACACAAAGTGGATGAACTAAGAAAGGAAAAATTTGAGATAATAAAATCTCTGCGTGAAAAACTTACTTTAAACAATGTAGAGTTAACTAGGCCTAGCGTAGGCGTGAATATGAGTGCAAGTGTCACTAGTCCTACCCCTGCAGAGTTAAGAACAAGCACTGATGCATTTGGTGAAGAAGATGGATGTAAGAGAAGTTTAATACATTCTCCAACACCAAGGAAAGTCAAGAGGTGTAAGCCAGGTGAGATAAAACTCTCTATATTATTTAAGCACCTATCACGCTGTAATGTGCAATTCAATTTGTAATTTTGAAATTTCTCATAAAGTATTGCACCGTTTGATATGTTGCCAACTTGCCGTAAGTTCTGTTCATCAAGATTAATGTTTACTTACTTTATTACTTGGATTAAGGTCTCCTACTTATAAGTATAGAAATACCCACTTTACATATTTGAAGGTGTAAATATTTATAAACCAAGGACCAAAGTACATGTGATATACTAGTAAGTTTATTGCCAAGCCACTATAGATACCTGTTTATCTTTTTGAGTACATGAGCCATGACATTATTAATTTTAAGTATCCTAATTGTGGAATTTTAATGGATTCTTACAGGTTTTACAAAGACTCCAGAGAAACTTCGACAACCACGTATAAAACTGTTTACACCCAGTAAAATTAAGGTAAATGCACATGACACTAAACAGTACAACAGAAAGTTTAAGTAAATAGTAGTTTTAGAAAAATTGTTAGTAAGAAACAATTGAATTTAACAACATTGAATTGTATGCATTGTTAGGATTTTTATCTTGAATTTGAAAGAATACTCTACATCAAAATTCTTTGACGCTAACATGAGCTTGTTTTATTGTTTTTGTTCTGTTCATCAATATGAAACACTTTCCATATGGTTTCAGCTTTGCTTCTTTTTTAGGTGTTGTTCAACACTGGAAAACAGATCAAGTGTAGAATGGTAAAGGATGCTGAATTTAGACAAGTGATCAAAGCCATTTCCAGGGGACAACCCAAAAGACACATAGCAAAGTTTGCATACAATTCATCACTTAAAGAGGAACTAGCAAAGTTTGTTATTCATGACATTGAAAAAGATATTACAAAGCTTACCTCAAAAAAATCCAATTGTTGTCTAAGGAGTACAGAATGTGACAATTTATCAAGTTTCAAATTTGAGAAATTGCTTTTTGAAGTGCAGTTACATGCTCCTCTCTTATATAAGACACTATCGCATACTCTCAAAGATTCTGTTGGAGTAGCAGTTACAACAGCCATAATTGCAAAAAACAGGAATATGCACATGTGTGCACTTCATCATATTATTGCACAAATTTTGGATCACAGCGGAGCAACAGATGAGGTAAATTGGTGATACAAGACGATGGATATTGAGTATTCTCAATTTTATTTTCTTAAGCATATTAGTTAGTTAAATGGAATGTATAGAATTTTTTTATATACATATAATGCATGTACTGTTTTACTTGTTATGGCATACTTTATTATGGCCCTCATCAAAACAAAACATACATCACGAAAAATGTATTTGTCAGCATTTTATTAGATGGATCTGGGAACATTGTGTAATTCATAGATGAGACAGAGATGTTATCACTTTCAGTATTTATTTTGTTATTGCTAAACTCTCCAGTTAAATTTCATTTCAAAATTCTGTAGTATTTGTAAAAAAAAAATGAAGATTGAGCCAAATCTTTATTACTATATTCTTATTGCAGTGTATTTCCTTGTTCCAAAAGTTGGGACTAAGTGTGTCCTCCTCAGCAGCAGCAAAGAAGAAGGTGGATCTAGCAGAATACCAGAATGAACACATCAACTCTACAGTTATCAATGAAAAGAGAGAACTTGAATCTTCAGGTATGGGTGAGAAATCCTCAGATATTATTGGGGATAATTTTGATATTACCAAAAGCCCTTCAAATATGTGTAAGGAAAAGGAAAGGAAGAGTCTGCATTGGTTTCTGTTAATAGGTCTGCAAAAACGAATTGTTGAAAACAGTTTAAGCAATCAGCTGCCTTCTTTATCAATCACTGAAGTAAACAATGATGTTTTTATTCCAACACGTTCAGATTGTGAGTTTTTAGAAGAGAACTGTTTGTTTCACATCATGAAAACTATTGTTAAGTATGTAGGGTGTTTCAAAAAATATGCTCCATTCATACCAAAGATAATTAATCACCCTCATCTGAATGAAATGTCCATGAAGTCTGACTTTGTGATTCTTGATTTGTTGGACAAAAGCGAAAATAAAAGTGAGGACATGATATCAATACTAGAACACATCCATTTGAACTATATTGCCCACACTGCTGACGAGAATCCAAAGGTAATTAAGAAGAAAGTGTTCGGTGGCGATGTCCTAACAAACGAAAGAGCTTATAGTGCTCAATTAGCAATGCTGAATGGCAGGTCTGAGTTTGATAAGCTGGCAGGTGTCATTCACAGACCAGAAGGGTTGCATCGTATGATGAATCTTTGTTTGGTAATAGCTAAAAAGTTCAGTTTGTTGCTGTTTATGGTTTTAAAAGGTATTTGTTTGTTTCTTGAGTTTCATTTATGTATCAAATCAAGATACATGAACCATGTGGTACAAGAATAAAAGGTTTCCAGCTTAGTTCTTTTAGTGTGAACTTATCAATTTACAATACATGTACATTCATTTGATTACATTTTAGGTATAAATGATCACGATTTAAATTTTAGGATGTCAAATTTAATTTGTGTCTCCAGATGCTCTACCTGTCTTGTTATTTGCTTTATTTCATAAAGAGGAATTCTACAATATAATCTTGTACAGAGGTTTATCTTGATTATTTTTATTTTACATGTATTTGATATATTCGGGGGGAAAATTTTTTAATATAAAAAAAGTTATCCCCTTTACAGTACTTATTTATTCATAATCAGTATTAAATTAACTAACACATTTCATATTTTTATTTAATATATTTATTTATTTTCATGTTGCTGTTTTTTTTTTTTTTGCAAACCTCTTTTAAACTAACTCATTCTATACCTGTAATACAGATTTTATTTTATAAAGTTCTATGTACAGTAAAAAAAGTGGTGAAATTCCTCTCTTAGTCAGTTGTTATTAATATATACAACCAAAACATCTTTTTTCCTCATTGGAGGAACAAAGTTCAATTTTATGTACATTCATTATTTATAAATGTTTTTATAGAGTTTCTCAATTTTTCTTCATCCTCTTCTCTTAAAATACATTATATGAAACTATGTTATAAAAAAATATTTCACATGATATCTGTCATCAATCCAGATGTAGTTTTTCTAGAATAATTTTTAGAATTTTATTAATCTTGATTCATAAAATTTCAGCTTGTGTATCGGCAGTTCTACAAGCTGAGTTCTTCAGGAGAAGTAGGTACTTTGAGCCAGTTGCGAAATTTTGTTCACAGAATTGATGTCCATGGGGGTGATGAAGTAATTCAGAAATACAGGTATGTATATATTTTTTTCAATGTATTGATTACTATCAAGGAAATGTAAATTGAGAAATAAACTAAAAATTCAGTAACACTGAATAGCAATAGAAAAAAGCCCTAAGAAATGAATGAAAAAGACAGAAAGAAACAAGTCTTGTGAAGATTGTGTCTCCACCAGAGCTTACAGTCACATTTATTCATCATGATCATTTGGCCAGAATTAAGTTTCCTTGCACAAACAAACACAGAGAATCTTTAATTTATAAATTGGAACCTAATGGCAAGGTTTCATAAAGCAGACACTTATTTCATGTTTGAAGAAAACAATATTTTAAAATTATTTTAGAGCTCACTATGCATTTTTGATGGACTGTTTGGATGCTTTGATCACTGGAGCATGCCTACATCTTCTTGAAATGGAGACCTTAGATTCCCAACCAAACCGGAAGCAAGAGCTTTTTGAGGTTCAGTCTACAGATGACAAGTACAAATTTCTTCGCCAAATTGCCAAGGATATACTAGATAGATACGTAAACCTTAATCCAGGTAAGATACGTTTTTAATGCTGAATTTTGGTCCTTTGTCATGGTGCATAATACCTTGAGAATACTTGGTATTGTGATTACCTCACAGTTATCTAATTGTCACTCTTTTGTGACAGAGTCAAGAAAGCTCTAAATTTTGCAAGATTACTGGGGCATTATATTGTTTACAGTAGTTACAATAGAATGATTCAAACAAACATTATGCCGAAATAGCAGTGTATTACAGAGAGTTGAACTCAAAATATTTTAAATTAAATATCAATAAGAAATACAGTGAGATATTTTTCTTGCATCTTTAGTCGATACTCTTTAAATGAATAACCATTTACTTTTTTCCTTATCTTGGTAGATTTGAGAAGATTTGAGGAGAAAGTACAAGAATTAGATGTCCAAAGTCAACAAATCAAGGATATGTTCGATCATACACTGCAAAAGTACATCTGTATATCTTGTGAAAAACAGTACAAAAAAGTGGGCCATTTAAAGAGACACTTAAAAGAAAAACATTTGTGGGATTTCACAGAGACTGAAACAGAAGAAGAGGAAAAACCAGATAGAATATCTTTGTACAGGGCGTCACTAATGAAATGTTTGTTATTGCTTAAAGACACCAATGATGGATACAATATGGGAGATGGAGACAGAATCATGATAAATGCTAAGTTTCAGATGTTGCTTTCAGGGGTATGTAACCACACAAAATACCAAATCTGGTTATTTAGATTCTTGGCATATTATCATTGCATTCTGAGTCCCCGAGATGCTCACGAATACAAGTGGAACTGTACATCAAATCTCTCTGGTGGCACTGGCCACAACATACCAAACGACAATTTAGTTGAAATAATGGTCCATAGATTGAAGGAAAAACTACGTACACAAGGAGCAAATGTTACATATGAGAGTGCAAGAAAGGCAGCCCTGTCACTTCAAGTACAAGATCAAATTAAACAGAATGCCATGCATGAAATTGCTTTGAAACCAAAAGGAACAACCCGAACTGAGGCATCCAAGAAGACTGATGTTGAATTAATTATAGACCAATTCAAGAAAGCTGAATTTTTTGATTGTGTGCCTGGAAGGCAATTTCATGCCTTTTCTTCCTTTCAGGACTTATTTTCAAGGGTAAAAGTTGTAGAATTACATAAATGGATTCAAAGGCAGAAGGAAGCATTGTCATATGAGATAGTATAAATGTTAATACCCTTGCATTTATTGGCAACATTCCTACATGTGGGCATATGTATTGAACATTGAACATAGAATAAGATGTTTTAAAGTGGCATTAGGTGTTTTGTTTTAGCTATACTCAGGCCCGTAGAATGTGGCGGGGGGGGGGGGGGGGGGGGGGCACTTTTTTCTTGGTATTGTATTTTGCTATAGTAAATTTTCCTTTAGATGCTGGTTGGACCCCCGAATTTTGATGTAAGGTGGAACACTTGCATGCATATTCCAGGATTTGGACAGAGAATTTTGGGAAGTCCCCCCCCCCTTTGTTCAATTTAGGTTTTTCTGCTTGTCAGATATTTAAGGAAGTCCCCCCCCTCTTAAATTGCTACGGGCCTGATACTGTTCAGAGATTAAAAGAGCATATGCACAGTAAGGTGTCTGTTGTCCATCCATCCATAGATTTTCAAAATGATATTCCTTCTATAGTTTAATTACTATGCAAGTACACGAGGATATATGTTATTCTGTATATTGATTTTTTTTAATTCAACAAATTATTTCACCAAAAAATTGAAATATCTCTGAAATTCTTTCATACACTACTCCTAGTTTTTATCCAATTTCATTAAAATTTGACACTATAAATATTCTTAGATTTCTCCAGGTACACAATAGTCCCATCAAAGACTTCTGGATTGACATTTTTTAAGGGAAAATTCAATGTCATATTTGAAGTGGTGTGTGTGTTGTCATCCTTACAGTGACAAAGACAAAATAGCCTTTGAAATAGATTCCGGATAATAAAATCAATATTTATTCTAAACTAACTGTTGAAATAAAAAATTAAGAACGAGAATAGGAAACAGTTTTAAATATTTAATATTTATTTGTTTTCCTGTCATCCATAAAATTTTTAATGCAAATTCTGATTTATAATTTGTCTAAAAGTCTTTATGTTCTTATGGTCAGAAATTTAGATGTATGAATCTTCCATTTTGTGGCAACATTTTAATATTTTTTTCCATTAAATATGTTAAAGGTTAAACAAACAAGCTGCAAGAAGTGATCAAGTTTGGTATTATATATATTCATTTCAAAAAATCAATCTGACTCAGTGTCCTGAGCAAAATTATACATATCAGAATCACCAACAACATCAGAGATAATTTCACAGATATCTGTGGCAGTATCTGTACACCAAATGGGGAATTTTCTCATTACATCATCAGGTGTAAAAACTGAGTTGCAATTTTCCACAATCTTCTTAACAACGTCATTTGTTAGCCCATTCAGTACTTCAAAATCTATGATACAATCAGTATTGGACATTTGTGATTTATAAAATAGTAACTTATCATGAATGATTTCTTTTTCTCTCTCGCTTACAAATCGCTTCATCTCATTTTCATCTTCTGATGATCCACTGTCTTCATCATCTATTTTTAAACATTCATGTGTCCGAGGACATAGATCACATTTGCACTTGCATGTTTTTTCACAAATATCACAACAGTCATGAGGTGGTAATATTTTCTTGTTTTGTAACATATATGCTTCACAAAGGATTTCATGTCTACATTTGTCATCTTTAGCTAACCGAATAAGCTCACTTTCTACTTTTTTAATTTGATTTTTATTAGTTTTATACAGAATCAGTTCATCAGACAACTTTCCATCTCTTCCTGCCCTTCCCATCTGCTGTACAAATGTATCAATTTTTCTAGGTAATTTGTAATGGATAATATGGTACGCATTGTAGAAATTGACCCCCATACCGGCTGCATCTGTGCATATCAAAATTCGGATATTGCCATCCTTCTTCATATCCTCGGAAATTATTTCTTTTACTTTTTCATCGGTCTTGCTGTGAAACATTTCAAAAAGATGACAGTCATTGCCAAAATGTTTGACAAATGTTGTATAAATTTTGGACACATCTGAGATACTTTCACAAAAAATTATATGTCTTTCCATTTGTTCCTTTTGGGACCGTAAAGTATCAATCAACCACTTAAACACCTTTTCTAAATTGTCAGAATTCGGAATACACATAGATGTTATTTTTATATTTTCACGATCTGGTGAATCTAAAATTACTTCAACATTGTTCCGAAAACATAAAATTTTCATAATTCTCCTACGCTGACTTGGTCCTGATGTTGCAGTTAAGGCAATCAAAGATGCTTTAGGACAGAGTGACCTCAATTCCCCTATGTTTGCAAATGCCTCTCTAAAAGGCTCTTCATCTTTGTCACCTTTTCCCCTAAAAAGAAACGATCAATTATTCCTTTTTAAGAAACATTTTCCCCTTGAGCATGGTCACACAATTTGTATTTTCAATTAGGGCAGGGGCTGACAAATCCCATTGCCCGACGCCATATTTGTTTATTGTAGGGCAAGCAAAAACCCAGGTAGGGCAGGTGAATTATTAGCATTTGCCCTTGGACAAGTGGTTTAAAAAAATCCATTTGTCAGCCCCTGGAGGGATACTCAAACTTATTGATCAATTAATTAAATTATTTTGTTTGGCTCTTTTCTCAGTACACGTTTTAATTTTATAATTTATATTTAAATTTAATGCTTGATTTACTTAACATACCACTGTGTAACTGTATGGGCCTCGTCAACAACAATTAACTTCAATTTCTGTTGGTAAACTTCAGATTTCAGCATGTCTCTCCACTTGGAATTATTTATGAAGGACTCCGGGCTGCCGAACAGAAAATCAACTAACCCTTGTTCAACTGCATCGGCATCTATTAACTCCTTGCCGATATAGGTTGCTTTAAATCCTAATTGTTTAAGTCTATCACATTGCTCTCTCATAATGCTCAAGAGGGGGGCAACGACTAAAACACATTCCCCTGGATGCAGCACTGGGATATACTGATAAGTCAAAGATTTTCCACTGCCGGTTCTTGTACTTAAAAAAACATCTTTTCCGTTTTCTGTGGCACTGATACTCTTAACTTGGTTCTCTGTTAAAGACTGTATATTAAATCTGGAACAAATCTTATCGAATTGCATGGGAGTCGCCATATTGTTTTTAAACGTCATAATGATTTACTTATGTTACAGCTATTTTCATTGGTCAAGTAAAAAAGAGCTTCAAGGGACTTAACTCAATCACGACGTTAGGTGGCGCAATTGAATTTCCCCGTTTGATTGACTAAATCTGCCAAGGGTTGTAGAGTAGGTATCGGATCGGAAACCCTTGGCTAGCGAAGATGACATTACAGAATCTATTGCTAAGTTGAATGTTGAATGATTGACGTCTTTCATACAATTTGCAATATCCCCTCGTGAATAATTAATGCATTTGTAGTATTTATACTTCATAAACTTTTCGTATAAAAATTTGAAGACGACATAGACCTAAACAGTTTGACTTTTCAAATGTGCTAATAATACGCGGTAAACTGTGTAAATCGAAGGTTTTTAATGTCTTTACAGTTGAGAGAGAGAGAGAGATTATATCATTTTTCCCTTTCCAGTGCTTTTAGTTCTCAAATCCTTCAATTTTCCATAAATATACATTGTACCACAATGAAATACTTTGAAGCAAAATGATTTTTACAAAAGTCTGACTGAAGTCTATAGTTATACGTATTCCTAAAATGGTAGATTTATTCATCTTCCATATCTGTTGATCACAGTTGTAACTGCTTTGCAAATCTGTACGTTTAAACAGAATAAATATTAAATTATAAAAAGACCAAAAAAAAAAAAAAAAAAAAAAAAACAGAATGCATTACCAAGGGTTTTGAAAAGATAGCAATTGATGAAAATTCTAAGAAAAATATACAAAAAATAAAATATTAAACATGTATTCTAGATCTTTTGTTTATCAAGAATTGTTTCAGAAGAAGTGTACAACAACATTTATGGACATTAAAATGCAGTTAAGAGCTCCTATTAGTAATGGTACTCATCAACTCCGGTAAAAAGACGATAAAGTTCCGAGTTGTATATGTCCTTTAAAACTAACAAATCCTCAGGTTTAGATTGAATATCAAACAAATTTTATCGATACTTTCAGAAGCATAAATCCCCACTATTTCAAAACAAGTAAAAAAAGGATATGGAGATAACGAACAGCACTCAATATCAAAGTCCATAAAACAATACAAAATAGGAGCAGAGGAAACACGGACCGTCGAAACATCAGAGGTGGGATCAGGTGCCATGGAGGAGTGAGCATCCCCTGCTGACTGGTCACACCTGCTCCTTGCCATGATCTGGAAATAACGGGAAATCCGTCGTCAATTCAGTATATAAATAATGGACTAACAATTAGTATGAAAAACGTAAGTCAGCATTTGACTCAATGATAAATTGTATTTGCTGACAAGGTCATTGTATCGACCATAGAACTTACGAAATGATGACTTTAAACGAGACTGCTGATATTTATGTTTCACCAACTTGCTTGTCAATAATTACCTCGTTTTAGAAATTGTTCATACGTAAGGAATGCTCTTGGGTATCGAATTAACTGAGATATGTAAGCTCCGTATGCAGGTGATGAAGGTATATTGCTGCATAAGGGAAGTTGACGATAGAAAAGTTAAAGTCATCACGTTTATCATATAGCTTGGTGTTAGATTACTATTTACGTCTTTTTCATGTAAAATACCCAAGTATGAAACAGATGTGTCAGACTCTGTGGTATCTTTTATCTCAAGCTCACCAGAATATATCGTATCGACGTAGGAATGGAAATTACCATTGTTAATTGACAATACGTCGTCGATATATCTAAATGTCGAGTTGCAGGCCTCAGCAAGTGTTTTCTTCTTTTCACATCAGATTTTGCACAAATTCTGCTTCATATGAATATAAAAAATGAGATGAGGTTCTCGCAAAACCTTTTGTTGTATCATTAATGCAACAAAAAAATTTTTTGCAATCAGTGACTCTTATAGAACCGCTTTCTGTGTCTTAAAAATAATAAAAATATACATGTCAGTTTTAAATTTTCAAGTATATGAAAGATCATGCAGTATTTATTAGTCACACAATAAATAACAAAATGAAAATTTTATGATGTAAAGAACAGAAAACTTTGGATTACATGATTTGAGCTGGAAATAATTATTTTCAAGAGAATGTATAGCAAAATTTAATGTTGCAATTGCAGTGATTTTGTTCATCAATGTGAAACAGAAAATGATCACGTAATGTATACATGTAATCCTTATTGTTTAAATATTTCAGAAAAAGAGATATGATAATTTCATTTTTCTTAGGTGGTAAAAGCCTTGATTCTCAGAACAATTAGATGTCCGAGAAAAACTGACTGCACATTGACCCTGATATCGTGAAACAATTAACCTTTATTATACTTATTCTGAAACCAAGTCCCTGCACTTTAAAATCACCATTTCTATAGTGATTGTAAACCACCTAAATTTCCCACATTGCACAATTAAGATTTTATTTATTAAGGTCTTCCGCTGGAAACGGAAGACCTTCTACTGATTCTGATGGTAAAGATTATTAAGGTCTTCCGTCTTCAGCGGAAGACCTTCTTGTTATTCGTTGGTTTCTTTTCCACTGTTTTTCTTATTATTTTTTTTCTTACCGATTTTGTGCACGCGATTTCTGAAAAATGGCTGATTATATTTTTATGAAACTTTCAGGTCTGATAGAACATAAAAAAATCTTCATGCATTTTTTTTCATTTGGATGACGTCACTTCCGTTTCGAAGATTTTCGCAATTTTGTGATTTTTAAGGCTCAGTTTGTCCGTCGCTCTTCTTAATAACCGCTCATCATAGGAAGATGAAACCTTTTCTGGAAGATAGAGCAACATATGTAGATTTGCATTGTGTTTTTAACTTTCACCGGAAGTACAGCACGTTAACGTTCGGTAGGGTCTGAAAAAAGTCATATTGAGCGTTTCAAAATTTCTAACACCTTTTCTATTGTATCGTTTTACTTGTAAATATTTTGTTAAAACATATAGAACAAAAGTTATGAATAATTTTAAGATCTTTCAAATGATACCTCGAAAAAAGGGCTGGCCCCTAAAATTAAGGGCCTAGAGGGGCCATAAGTTTTTCCTTTATATTTCAAAAAGTATTGAGAATTTATAATACGTCAAAGAAGCAAAGTTGTTCAAAATGTCAAGCTTAATCTATTGAAGTTTTTAAAAAACGTCCGGCGACGTAACTTCCGGCCAAACCGGAAGTAGTCGGAAAAACGCGTATTTCTGCCGTTCTTGACAAGTTTTGGAACAATATCTGTCACTGGGAGCATAAAAATTAGTTTTTCCTCCGTCGACGTCACTTCCGGTCAAACCGGAAGTTGCAAAAAACTGGCTTATTTTTGCATAAATTAACATATACTTAGAGGATTTAAACCATTTTGGGGCGTTATTACTCATTTTTGTAAAAATGAAAGCTACTTCTGGTCAAACAGGACGGAAGACCTACTCGTTGCTTTGCAACGAGCTTTGCTCTAGTTATTCTTTTTTTTCTTCTACTTCCTAGACCGCAACATTGAGGCCTCATATCTCACTCATTTCTCAACGGATTTCGCTCAAATTTTCAGAGGTTATAGACGTTTATAAACTCTATCAGAATGCTGACTAAAATTTCAAAAAGTCACTTCCGGTTTTGAGTTATTTCCCTTTAAACGAAAATTTATAGGCTTTCGTTTCCAGACAAAGGCTAAGAGACGGCTAAAGCTGGAGCAGAAATTCTACTGATTTTAGATAGTGGAAGGATTGAAGTTGTGCACATCGGTTTTTGTTTTTCGATTTCTCTATTCAAAATGGCGCTATATAGGGGTCAAAAATCAGAACGCTTAAAAGAACCAAAAATTACTCATATTTTGCTTTTTATCTTCTAAACTAAAAATATTTTGTTAGAATATATAGAACATAATTTGTGCAAAATTAGAAGATCTTTCAATTGATATGTCGTAAAAAGGGCTGACCCCTAAATAAAGGGATTTAGAGGGGCCAAAAGATTTTTCAAGATATCTCAAAATGTATTGAGAATTTGTTATACATCAAAGAAGCAAAGTTGTTGAAAATGCCAAGCTTAATCTAATGAAGTCGTCAAAATACGTCCAGCGTTGTCACTTCCGGCCAAACCGGATGTATTCGGAAAACGCGTATTTTTGCCGTTTTTGACAAGTTTTTGGGAACATATGTCTCTAGGAGCTAAAAAAAATTATTTTTCCGTGCGGCGTCGTCACTTAAGATCAAACCGGAAGTAGCAAAAAATGGCTTATTTTTGCATTACTCAACATAGCTTTAGAGGATTCAAAGCATTTTTGGGCGTTATTTCTCATTTTTGTGAAAAATGAAAGCTACTTCCGGTCAAACAGGGCTGAAGACCTACTCGTTGCTTTGCAACGAGCTTTGCTCTAGTTTCTACTATAACTTAATTTTCAAATGAAAAATTGTTTGTTGATATGGTCTCTGAATAAAAATTAACTCATATGTTGACAAATAGTTTCATTTACATTTATGTATTATATTTTTTGAATACGTTTGAAAAAAAGTCACAGTAGACCAAATCTTCATTAAGTTTGAGATGAATACCTTACCAGTTATAAAGACGGCCCTTTAAGACCCCCGAAAGTCCCAATCCTTGCACAGCAAATTTCAGAGTCAAGGGATTTGTATTGACTTTTTGAATAACCGGACGTGGCAGAAAAAAGATCCTTCATACGTGTTCTTCAAAACAATACTGACTTTTTAACACTGAATTAATTCAACATTTATTTTTCAAAATAATAATAATAATAATAAAGTCTATGAAACTTTCTATTAACCAGTATTAGTTGCTCAAAATTTAGCGACCATTGGCAATACATACATTGTTATGTCATATTTTATGGAGCCACTGCTTCCCCTGATTGGTGGAATAGACCTGCTCCGCAAATATTCGAGAAGTAAGTTTTTCACTATAAATGTTACATCCACACAATCATAAAACAATTTAAAGAATTTTAAAATACAAAGTCTTCACATTTGTTATAGCTCTTCACAATTTAATTTGCAAATTCAACGCATTGACATACACTGGGTCTCGAGCGAGGTCCTTTTCTCCAAAAGTTTGTAGTCTGTTAGTGCTTCACAAAGCGCTCCATGGACAAGAAAACAAGTCAGTAGGACGAGTGGCATAAATGTAGTGGTCATTTTCTTTAATTGATCTGAAACATTGTAATGTCATCATGATACAGTAATTCAAATGGTATATAATAATTT